AGGGGCTCTACCACTGAGCCACACCCCAGCCTCTCACTGGGGGATTCTAAGCAAGTGTTCTACCACTGAGTCATGCCCCCAGCTTTCTTCTTTTTTTAACTTTTTGAGACAAGCTTCAATAAGTTATCCAGGGAGATCTTGAACTTTTTCCTTTTGTTTCCAATAGCTGGCTTGACAGGCCTGTGTCATCGTGCCCAGCAGTCAGGCAGATTTCATCACTTCTCTTGTCATGTCTACAGGGATCTGGCCCGAGGGGGCAGACGGCACAGACATCAATGCTGTGGCCCGCTCTCATGATGGGAAGCTGCTGGCTTCTGCAGACGACTTTGGCAAAGTGCATCTGTTCGGCTATCCCTGCTGTCAGCCAAGAGTGAGTGCCCCGGGGCCTCAGGGATTGGAGGCAGTATTCACTCCTTTGTGAGAATGTCTATTTTGTTTTGGGAAGAGGGTCTCAAATAGCTCAGGCTTGAGCTGGGCGTTGGTGGCGCACGCCTTTAATCCCAGCACTCGGGAGGCAGAGGCAGGCTGATCTCTGTGAGTGCAAGGCCAAGCTGGGTGCAAGAATATAGTGCTTGGGTTTGGGTTCCCAGCATCCATGATTCCCCTACAGGCCTAGAACAAGGACCAACAGCTACAGAACCAAATTACTGGTGAGAGCACTTGCCTGCGACTGGAAGAGGCTCCTCCTTACCGGAGCCAACTTTTTTAATGAAGTGGAGTTAAAATTTAATGAAGATATTTTAATGTAATTTAAGCATGAGGGTAAAGAGAGAGACACTCAGAAGAAAGAAAGATACACTGAAGAACATGGGTGTGGCCTTACAGGCTTTTCTTCTTCCTTTCTGCTTATTTATTCACTTGTTCATTTACTTATTTATTTGGTCTTTTGAGACAGGGTTTCTCTGTGTAGCTCTGGCTGTCCTGGAACTCCCTTTGTAGACCAGGCTGGCCTCGAACTCACAGAGATCCGCCTGCCTCTGCCTCACAAGTGCTGGGATCAAAGGCGTGCACCACCAACGCCCGGCCAAACATCATAAACTATATAGTAAAAACTTGTAGCACACACACACACACACACACACAAATGTAATATCTATGAAGAAGAAAATAACCATGCCTTCCAGGTGGCATTTTCCATCTGACCTTTTTCTTTCGTTTCTTCCCTTCTCACAGGCCCTAAGCCACAAAGAAAATGGACACAGCAGCCATGTCACAAATGTGGCCTTCTTGTGGGATGACAGCATGGCCCTGACCACTGGAGGCAAAGACACTAGTGTCCTGCAGTGGCGTGTAGTCTGAGACAAGGGTCTGGGGCCGGGGGGAGTCCAGTGGCAGGATTGAGTTCTATTTTTGGGAGATGT